CAGGTCTTCCAGTTGCCACTGGTGACTGGTAGCTAACAGTTAGTCACAGAAACTAGGAATTAAAAAAAAAAGAAAAGAGAATGTTTTACAACTGAGGGCCAGTACTGTGAACTAAATAAAGGCTGGTGAGACAGCTGGCAAATTATTAGAGCATTCTCATTATACCAGTTCTTATCCATATGGACAGTCCAGAATCGTCTATCATCGGCAAGTAACCCCGACAGTATGGGGCAGCCCCTTGGTACACTGCTCTCCACAGCAAACACCACAAGTGAGATTACAGGACCCTGCGCTCTCAAAGTCAGTGATGCAGAAGGTGGTTTCAAAAAGGAAGGGCAAAATCGGCATCAGATATTTTTATTTCCTTTTAAGAACTACGGTATTATCTAGCGGTATAAGTAATCCACGTTGCTTTCAGAAAAAAGGAAGGGCAGGTGACCTATAAACTCACCACACAGGCAAATCACTGCTAGCATTTTGGAAAACACGTCTTTTTAACTTCTAATTTAAATGCTACAGATTAAATTCTGATAAGGCTTTTTACAAGCAGAAATGATAAATAACAATTCAACAACAACCTCTCTCTCCAGAGTGGAATTTAGTTCTAATGCTTTTTCCAAAAGTACTAGAAGATTCTTTCAGACATGTGTTTTCACAAGACAAAGACCTGATTTTGGTCCACCATGGAACATAAACAAAAACAAGAGAGGAAAGCTTTACATTTGTGTGTGTGTGTGTGTGTGTGTGTGTGTGTGTGTGTTTTGATTTGATGAGCATTAACATGTATGTAGGCATTAGAGCTTTTCCACAAACTTGATCATCTAAAGGGGGAAAGGAGTTTCCATTCATTTTCAAATTTACACTTAAGTAACCTTGCTTTCATTTTTACAGGCGTCAGATGCCAGTTTGATCACATAAACTAGGAAGGAGGTGTCCTCGCCAAAGCAATACCGTATCTCGTTCGTTTGTTCTCTCTCAGCATCCCAGGCTCTCTGAAATGTGCCTGGAAGCATCAGAAGGAGCCTCGAAGTCATCGTGGCAAAAATAAAACAGTTTTATAAGTAATCCCTCAGTGGTCTTTGGGCAAAAAATGCTAAGCACGTCCAAGGTGAACCCAATCCACTCGGCAGTCTCTTGGTGTAATCTGCGGCATGGCGGCTCTTACTGTGTTCTGCACCAGGACCCACCCGCAGGACACGGCCAGAGAGACACCACAAAGTCACCGTACAGCTGGAAAGGGCTATTAGGCCAGTGATTCTAAAAACCTGCCGGGTGGAGATCAGCTCTCCAAGTTGTGTGGCTGAAAATATTGGCCTTCAACAAAAGGGTTCATCCGGACCCTTCCAGAAATACATGCTTGCAAGCCTGGGTAACAGATTCCATGGACGGACCTCAAAGCCAAGCTCCCTTACAACTAGAAGAGCCCACCCAATTAGTCAAGGATAAAAGGCAGGATTCTTGGGTATTTCTCATGTGGTCCGCCAGTTGTTCTCTCAAGAGGTCACCTATAGAGCTAGAGAATTTGCCAGAGACCTTAACCTCTCCTCTTAAAAGCCTACTCTCAAGAGCCAAACACTGGGGTGCATGAGGGGTTGCCTCAACGACATGCTAACTTTCCATGTGTCCATCTACAGTTGCTCAAACATGTCTTCACAGAGCCACGCCTCTGAATGAAGGCAAAAGTAAGACATGGGCACATGAAACATGAAGATTAGTACTCTAGAACCAGTATATTCTCAGTTTAAACACAACAGTTCATTATGCTACTAAGTTTAGATACCATTCAGTCTCTTCAGAAAAACTTACCCAGAAAAAAAGGACCAGACTCAAACTTGGCTGACAGAAACTGGCAAAACCCTTGAGACTGTGTCCTTAGACACGCTTCAGACCTAGCGCTGGACCCACCTCTGGCGGTCACCTTGCAGTCAAACAAAGAGGCCTGTAGAGTGACACTCACAGGGAATATAGTCCCAGTAGCCAACAGCCATGGTAGACAACCAAAAAGACAGCAGTGGCCCCAAAACCAAGCTCAGAGGGTAGGAAGGGGCAGGAAGAAAGAAGGGTTAGTAGGAACAGGGGCAGGAAGGGGGCTGTCACACTGGGGGTTGCAACGCACGTCACGAAACCAAATGTGCATGAGTGGTTGGATGGAAACTAAGTTACCCTGCAGCTGTGCACCCAAACCACCTTTTAAAGAAAGGACGATGCCATTCACGTTAGACCTGCTCCAGCCCTCTCCCGCGGGCTCTGCCCTGTTACTCCTTCAACACCATCCTCACAGTACTGGGGGCAGAAGAGCACTCAACCCTGTGTCCCACCCAAACGAAGTCTTCCTCTCCCTGTGCTGGAGACACAGTAGAATGAGGACAACTTCATTGTCAAATTAGGTGCCAAAGTAATTAAGTGAAATGTTATTCCCTGTCGCAAAAGAACGAAAAAATTAAAAACCATTCTCACTACCATCGTTTCATAGCGACCCTTTAGGACCCTACGGACCAGCAGTTCTCAACCTGTGGGTCACGACCCCTTTGGGGGCCGAACAACCCTTTCACAGGGGTTGCCCGATTCATCACAGTAGCAAAATTACAGTTACGAAGTAGCAACGAAAATAATTTTACGGTTGGGGGGTCATCACAGCATGAGGAACTATTAAAGGGTCGTGGCACAAGGAAGGTTAAGAACCACTGCTCTAGACTACACTGTAAGTTTCTGAGATGTCACTGTTTACAGGCGTAGAAAGCCCTATCTTTCTCCTGAGAAGTGGCTGGTAGTTCAGCACTGCTGACTTACAGGCAGCAGCCTAATGCATAGCCATTATGCACTTTTCAGATTGCAGTCCAACCTGTAACTACTAAGCCATCAGGCCTCCCAGAAGAACACCCTCTCCTCTTTTTTTCATTCACTTGTAACCCTTTATTATAAAATGTGAACTCACTGATTATAGTCTAGCTTGTTGATTTAAAATGTACATAAATTAAAATAAAATTAAACACAGACTCCCTCAAACTCCTTTTTCCCTTAGGTTCTTAGGTCATGGTTTTTCCCCTACTGACAAATTCCTTCACTGTGGTGAGACATACCTATAACAAAACACTTGCCATCTCAATGTGTCTTCCGTGCACAATTCAGGCATGAATTACAGTCATCCTGTTGCACAACTCTCACAACTGACATCTCCAAATAGTTCCGGCACGCTCATTCACACTCAATGAAGAACTAGTGTTTCAGACACAAGAATTAGAAAGCGCACAAGGCACCACAGTTCCCCGTATCAACTTTATTTCTAGGAGGGTCCAAGCTAAAATGTTAAGCTCAAGACTCCTCATGCCAAGTGTATTGCTATAACTAATTTCCTGTTCTGTTGTTTACGGGCCTCTTTTTTCCCTTCTCTTCCCTCGCTCTCACTGAATCTCGTATTTTAAGGAGCGACACTGCCCTTGGAAAACAGCCTGCCTATGACAGTCAGTGAAGGAAGGAGAGCCGGTCTTCCACTGCGGGGGAGGGAGGCTGTGCGGGAGAAAGGGCCATCATCTGGCAAGGCTCTGCTGCTTCCCACTGCACTAGCCACGCAAACTGGGAGAGTGAAAGATGAGCATGGCAGCATTCAAAAGTAGGACGCCTGATTACATGCTAAACAGAAAAACAAGTCATAATTCACTCCTTCAGCTGTAGGAGATCGTGCAGAATGCATTATCTAATTAATGCTGCTAAAGTTATGAGAAAAATCAACGGTCAACTGAACCTCACCTCCCCCCCTCAGTTTTCTCTCTACATCAGGTTGAACATGATAAACAAAAGTTTCCATGCAAAAATTTTGTCAGAAATCTGATATAGTAATGCCTGGGCACCTCTATTCATCCAATTTCAAAAACGACTGTATAAGTTAAAACATAATAATTGCCACAACTATGACGGGACCTTTATCCAGGAGTTAGATGGGTAATTGAGACTGAAACGATGGCAGGGGTACAATGTGGCCCCTCTAGAAATGTTTTGATGTCCAGGCTTCCGGCCTCAGTGCCGCAATCTCTGGGCTTCGACTGGTTCCTTCTGAGAATTGCCCCTCTACCCCGTCCACCATGCCCCAGGCAAATTTACAGTAAGGGTGCTTAGGAATGAATGGGTAAAAGCCTTGCTTATAGTACAATATCATCCATGTTGAGAGGTAAGATAAAGCCTTAGGAAAACTTTAAAAACACTTGTCTTTTTTTCTACCCTCACTAAAATGTGTTACTTCAACCGAATGAAAGAATGTCCTTTTTAATAATGCTAACTTTATACGTGCTCTCTACCTTGCACACGCTCCGTAACATCATGAATCGCCACTTCCGTAAATTCATGCTCAGTAACCCACAAACTGTTTGCCCGGGACATGGTTCGCTTTTGTCCTTTCTAAGTAAGCTGCAGGACTGAAACAAGCGGCTGAACCAGGGACCAAACCCTCCTCTATGCACTGTGTGTGGTAGTTCAGTGAGACGTTTAATCAGCCCAGTATCTGTTCAGCATTACGCTCGTACTGTTCACTCGGGACATCTTGGTTGGCTGTCTGTAATTTTAACTACCACGGACACTTCTCCCTGAAAGTGACGTCTCACTTCATCCACTCATAATTTAGTACAATTCTGGCTGCTCAGAAGGCTTATGATGTATGCATTACAGGCCCCGCAGAGAAGGGGAGAGAAGTCTCACAACTGCCTTAATCTTCTTATTTCCAGAGTGCTACACACAGCACTCATTTCTCCTCTGACAAGGCCTCCCAGCCCTTGGTGTAGGACTGAAGATACAAATGCCTTCCTGCCGCAAGGAGATGCGCGAAGGCACCACGGCCAGGGCCAGGTAAGGATGGCCCCGCTGCCATCTGTACCTGGGGATTTTTAACCTCTGAAGAACCTCGGCTACAGCAAACGTTTCAAGCAAAGTGCTCTATCAAAGTCTTTTTTTTTTTTTTTCCTAGAGAAGAAAATAGGCAGGAAGACGAGAGCGGAGCAAGGGTACTTTACCTGCATCAGTTTTCTGGAGAGCTCATTAGTGAGGAACTCTTCTTCCTTCTCATAATTTACAGCAAGGGTTTCTTTCTCCTTCTGCAGAGCCTGGATTTTCTTGAATAAAGTATTACTGATGAATTCTTCTTCTTGCTCAGCCCTGGCTTGCTGTTTGCAAAGAAAAAAAAAATTCAAGGAACAAAACAAAAACACATGGTTAGGAAACAGGACATCTGCTAATTGAAATACAGTTCATTATTTCCAAAGAGGGCAGCCATTTTCATTAAAGCTCTATTCTTAATTGTGCACCAACATACCCCAAGAAGCCCAAAGCAGAGGAACTCAGGCAGTAGCTGTGAAAATGGAGGTGACCACTACCCCAAAGGGCCTCCCCGGACGATATGTTACCTTCCTCTTAAAGTGAGCCCACTGCAAACTGCCATCAAGTCAGCCCTGTCCTCCAGGTGTCCCCGGGCACCAGACGCAGCCCTCCTCAGTCCTAGTTCACACTCACGGATCGATCGCCCCTCGCCAGACCATCCAGTGCATTAAGATGGTCACTGGCTGGATTTCGGACCGAGATCATAGGGTCTCTCTTCCTAGTCCTTCTCAATCTGGAAGTTCCTCTAAAATCTCTTCCACAGCATAGCAGCACACAAGCCTTCGCGGGCAGAGAAGTGGTGGCTGTGCGTGCGGCTGCGCTGGCCAGAAAGGGAACCCAGTCTCCCCTGTGGAAGATAAGGATCCCACCAGCACCACCCAGGCCGCATTCACAGGGCGATAGGCACGTCACAGAAATGAGCACAGGTGGGTTCGCAGCATTCCCCAAGTCGATGAGCAGACGACAGGTCCAATCCTGCACTGATCTGTGACGACTCTGTTACTACTACAGCTCCATGGCTATTCTTCTTCTGATGAATTCTTCTCCCTGTTCGTTGTTCAGGCAACTGGCACAAAGAAGTCCCATTCCCTTCGATGGAAAATCGTGTCAGGGTGAAGTGGTTTGGCTAGGCCATTAGGAAGGGCAGACAGGGACCAGCGGACACGTTTGCATCTTCCTTGAAGAGTGACTGAGAAGAAATAAGCAAGTGGCTGAAAAGTGGTCAGTGCAAGATAGTGCGTATCTAGGGGTGTGAGGGCAAATGAGAAGTGCCATCTTTTTATTTCCTGTCCAGAAATGTTCCGGGGAGAAAAGGAAGAGCAGGCAGGGAATCTTAACAATGCAGGAGAAAAGAGATGCAACCGAGAGGCCCATGTTCTTCTGCAGATCAAACGGCTTAACAGAAAAAACTAACCGCCCTTGCAGGAAATTCGTCTTTGCAAAATGAGCATACTTGTTTCAAATAAGCACTCTTTCAACTGCAACATTTTGGTGCAGTTATCCCAAATAACGCAATTTCTCTTAATCTGCCATATGAGGGAGAACCCCACAAATCCCAAGCCTCCAAGAACCTATCGCTTATACAAATTCAAGAGGCCCAGAGGCCAGGAGACACCAGGGCACCTGCATTAAATGGTTACTCCTTTTTATTCTAAAAGGTCCAACCACCACGCCCAGCTCTGGTTTCTGTGCCTGTTAAGCAGCTCTTCCAACACCCACACCCTAAAATCCATGGTTTCTGCGGGTTCCACACTCCCTGCTCTCAATTACAACCGCCTTAGAGGAAATACATCAACTGCTGAAACTGCTTGCCAGGCAAGGGGCGGCCACACGTAGAACACACAGACTGAGAAGCAATGCTCTCTGACAGGTGGAGGCTTTGGGAGGAAACGGCCTACACTCAGGTTCTTTCAGATCCCATCCTGGGATAGGCTGGGACGGTTGGGCAACAAAGAGCAGCTCACTTGACTCAAGTCTTCATTACAAGCAGGGGATAAGCAGTGAGCAGTCCCTCCCTCCCCGGCGGTTCCCTTACACAAGCTATAGTGCTCCAGAACTTCTCAGTGCCTCACTGTGCACACACCAGCCAGCGTAGCCGTGAGGATGGAGCGGCCCCTCCTCCCTTTAAAAGCAACTCGACGCTCCTTCAAAACGTGCGTCCTTCAAGATCTCCATATTTCTCATGCCAGTGCAATGGGCAGGAATCCAAGGCACTTATTTAGTACATATTTAACACATATATCCAAGCCGACAATCTGTTCAAGCTACCTGTTTTTCTGGTTTTGACTGACAGTCCTAGATGATTCCAAAGCTGATTCTTCTAAAAGTGATAGGAAAGATAAGGTTGAGAGGGGCAGTACTGCTTTGCTGGCAATTCGGGAGTTGCGCACATGTGGCTTCTTAGCGATCAGACTCAATTTCTTGCATGTATGACACACTGATCATTGCAGGAGACTGAATTCCATCATCAACAGAAGGGAGCCAAGCAGAGGCTCAGAACTATGGTCCCTCCCCTTTCACACAGGAGGTAGAAGGGAGGGTCTAAGAGGGTGGACCGTCTGAGTCATCCACCCACCCCCAACACGTTCCTCACCAAGCATTAAAAGGCATCGACAACATATCTGAATGTAATGTGTTTTTGAATCCTCTGCGATAGAAAGCAGATTAGCGTTGGTGTAAGGCTGGGAGGAACAGAGGGACGGACATGACTGCCAGTGCATACAAAGAGTTTCTTTGGGTGGGTGGGGAGTGGGGCGTTGTTAAAAATGCTCTGGAATTGACTTTGTGACTGTACGAGGAAGTCCATTCAGAGGCGGCAGACACTCCATCGGAGAGAGGAGGCCGTCCACTCCTGCAAAGACATCATTACAGCCTCAAAAAGGGTCAGGAAGCATTGTGGGCAGAGGGTATGCAATGCAAGGGAGTCATCCGGGATGGCGCAGACAGTTAAGTCCTCGACCACTAATGGAAAGGTTAGTGGTTCAAACGCATCCAAAGGTTCCTCGTAAGAAAGTTCTAGCAATTTGCTTCATAACGGTTAAAGCCTAGAAATCCCTAAGGGGCACACTGAGGCCACTGCTGAGTCAGAACGCACGCCATGGAGACAGGTTTGCTTCCTGTTCTGCTGTGGGTTTTGTCTACACTTTAGAGGTGGTGGAGTTGGTAATTTAAGGTACACATTCTGTTTCCTTTGTTGGGTTTTGAATGCAGGGGCAGTAAACTAAAATGCCTCCCAAAGCAAGAGACCTACCACCAATAGTGGGCAGCTGTGGTTTCCAGCCAAAAATAGCCGCTTGTGCCTGGGCAAAGCCATGATATAGAAAAGGCCACTTTCAGGAACCCTGACTGAACACAAGGAAGTGTTCCCATGCCTGTGACAGTCTACCTCACGTGGCCGCACGGAACGTGGATCTCAGCAGCAGCTCCCTACAAGGAGGGTTTAGCTGACTGCTCGGCTCTATCTAGAACTGTGGGAGGACATTATCCTGAACGGAAAGCGCAGAGAAAACCACCAGGAAGGTAAGATTGGCAGACCCCAAAACTCCAGCCCATCCTTTTATCACCCTCCCCAATTGATTACAGACCGTAAGTGAACACATACATGACAAAAAGCAAGGTGCTGGGTCCAATCTAGCTGCACAGAAAAGTCACACACACAAATCAGATTTTATTTAAGAAAGCATCTGACACAGCCACTGACAGAATGCACACACTCTGAGTATCAGAGAATGCGTCATGCATCATAGGAAAGGATTAAGTATTCATTTTGGCTTCTCTTCCCTGCTGCTTTCTTCCTGGGCCGTGTGCATTATCTCAATCCCCCTCTACATTCTGGTTTTTCAGTTGAGCTGTAAAACAATTACTTTTCCATTTTCCTCCCCACGAAGAAGCCAGGAGCCTCGCAGACAAAGCCAGAGAGCAAAGGCGCAAGCCCCAGACTCCATTTGTTAGGCACTGCAGAGTCCCTGGAGGGGAATCAGCTCCAAAGCGGGAGGTAGCATGCTAGCATGCATAGGACAACGTGGGGGCAGCCAGGAGTGGGCCGGGGGGCAGTGGGGCTGTGAAACAGGCTGCCTTACATCACCCGGTCACTGGGTTTGGCTGGGAGGGTTTCTCTTCCATCTGACGTGCCTGAAAAATCTCAGAACACCTTCGCACATCCAAATTCAAAGCTAAAGTGGCCTTTCAAAGGCTAAGCAAATGAACCCAAATTCTGTAATATTTTAAGTAATATAAACGCTCATTAACAAAGAAAACGTGGACGACAAAAAACAGGAAACTCTTTGAAGGAAGAAAACTCCTATGTCGTATATGCCTGTTGAATTAAAAACTGGGGAAATCAAAGAATATGCCCTTATGTTTTCATGATCAATCTGGTTCTCACTGCTGTGCTGAGAAATAAGAGCAAATTTGGTATAACCACTCACTCCTAACTTAATGCCTGGCATTGAATAGATTGCCCCTCACCCCGCAGTACTCACTCAATACCTGTTCACCGAAGGACTAGAGTATAAAGCAGGGGTCCTCAAACTTTTCAAACAGGGAGCCAGTTCACTGTCCCTCAGACCCGTTGGAGGGCCAGAATATAGTTTTTAAAAAACTATGAACAAATTCCTATGCACACCGCACATATCTTATTTTGAAGTAAAAAAACAAATGGGGCAAAAACACCCGGCGGGCCGGATAAATGTCCTCAGTGGGCCACATGTGGCCCGCAGGCCTTAGTTTGAGGACCAGCTCTCAGAGCTAATGAAAGGCATGGCTCTACCAAGAAGGTGTGTGGTTTCCCTGGGCTCGCTCACGGGCTGTAGTCAGCGGGAGAGACAGCTGAGCCAGACTCCCCCCAAGATCTGGAAGCCGTACTTGGCTCCACCTCTTGACAGGAGAAGCTGTCAACTGTGACCCCAAATTTCAACCCACCACACTCAACCAGGTACTTCCATTTGCTACAGTATCTTCGCTTCTTTGGAAAGCACACCATGTCTAAACTCTCCTAAAGATTCCAGTAACTGATCAGCAAAGGGAGAGAGGAAACCATAGAATTTGGTTAGTACTTTAGGTGGAAAGTAAGTTAATGACCAAATTAAGTACTATCTGGAGGTTTTGTTTGTTTAATCTGACACCATGGGTTTGTACTGCAGAAGCTATTTTCTCCCTGGAAATAGCAGAGCCTCACTGGGAAGCCACTTTCCCGATTCTAAACCCAGTACTGCCTTGCACCATCTCCCCAGAGCCGGGAGCCATAACAGTGACACCTGGGAGGGCCAGCACGAAATGGCCTGCCTTG